AAACTGACCATTCAAAGTGTTCACAATATTGACATACTGATCATAAACTGACCATTCAAAGTGTTCACAATATTGACATACTGATCATAAACTGACCATGCAAAGTGTTCACAATATTGACATACTGATCATAAACTGACCATTCAAAGTGTTCACAATACTGACATACTGATCATAAACTGATCATTCAAAGTGTTCACAATACTGACATACTGATCATAAACTGACCATTCAAAGTGTTCACAATATTGACATACTGATCATAAATTGACCATTCAAAGTGTTCACAATATTGACATACTGATCATAAATTGACACTTGCATTTCATTAAATATTTATTGTAATTATACCGATGTGACCCCCTTAAATATGATAAATAAAGCACCTCCCTGTTTTCTTTTAAATCTCGCTTTTCTGCCAAATTCTGTAACCAATCGCCATGAAATTTGTAAATTGCAATGCACACTTTATATGCACACTACACATGTATTAGGATTAGAATATTTAAAAGCATTTAATGCCATTTTTTAGCTAAAAAAAATTATAATCATGAGAAGTGTTATACCCTTTATTTGTGATATTGGTAAATATATCTGAGATGAAATATATCAAAAACAATTTACGCTTGCTTTTATTAGTTCCAGAAAATACTGGGTCAAATAATGAAATACAGGGTTGTATACATACATAGCTCTAGAGAGAACCAATTGTTGTGAGTTTTCTTCCTGTAATGACTCTACTTCGCCACCTAGTACCTTGACATTACTTGCCATTAGCATCAATACACCAAGACGACATTGCACATTGCCACATATCTGAATCTGTGAAGTTTATTAAATAACAACTCATTGAAAATGACACAGTCCCTGTCAAAATTTTTGAAAGTTCTTTTTGTGCTCGTCATATTAATGCAGAGGAGTTGTCATGAGCGTGTTCTTGAAACTTGAGTTCCAAGTGGGTATACAACAGATTGTTTATTTACATAAAAACACATGTTCCATATAGTAGTAATATGGCCAATAATAAAAACACCGTTATTGGCCATCTTTGATCTGATTATAAAACACACTGATATGTATGATGTATGTGCCAAATACGAAATGAAAATAGTACATAAATTGTGGAAATATAGTAGTAAGACTAAAAAGTCAGATGGCTGTCAATCGGCCATCCTTGACCAGATGGAGACCGAATTATAAGTCCCCCTTTTCGGACTTTGTCTGTACAGGGACTAATAAATTACTACTCATGGTACTTGCAATTAGCAGGCATCACACTCACAGTAGATTGGGTGTGTTTTGAGAGCACACATACATGTATGGCACCACACTCGCAGTAGGTTGGGTGTGTTTCGAGAGCACACATACATGTATGGCACCACACTCGCAGTAGGTTGGGTGTGTTTTGAGAGCACACATACATGTGTGGCACCACACTCACAGTAGGTTGGGTGTGTTTTGAGAGCACACATACATGTGTGGCACTACACTCGCAGTAGGTTGGGTGTGTTTTGAGAGCACACACATGTATGGCACCA